CTGGATTAAGCTGCTGACTTTCTGCTTTACAGAGCGACAGTACTAACAGCTTTTATTCACTAACTGAAATAGTGTGCACGACTGCAGCGAAAACGAGACATCGAAAATATAGGTGATAATATACCAATATGAGACAACAGGAGCGAATGTACGCCACGGAAACAACGCCATCAACATGTTCCACAATTGAAACACTTCCGCGTCATCAACTCAAGCATCAATAACTGTGAAACAGGATGTGAATAAGACTTGGCTGGCTTCCTTCATGAGCCAGAAACCTGAGCTTGGGAGAAGACAATACTGTGTGAGGCGGTTCATACAGGTGCACACGAACAAGACTTGTTTTACTTGACCTGTCTTACTGCGTTGGCTAGGGTACCTTTTGTGTATCAGATGATATAACAGAATATAGAATGATTAATTTCTTGCGCTGATTGACCTCCAACAATGTCAGAGAAGCTCAGGGACAAAGAGTTGGCGTAGTTCGATCATCCGTACAAAATCAGCAAAACTGGGCTAGCAGGCCAGTTGCTCACATGGGAATCGCGATATGGTTCAGGAATAAAGCGTCAAAGCGTCAGACATCATTACTCTGTGTACTCAGTCCTTGACCCTGATACCCCTGAAGACGATGGCAATAACAACAACCAGGGGAGAAATGGGCAGCACTAACGGAGATCTGTCTGTGTCTGTCTGTCTGTCTGTGTTGTTTGTGATGAGCCTTTCATTTATGGATGCACTGAAAATATGACACAACTAACTGATGAAGGCGAACTCAAAAATTCATTTAAAGAATTATAGAAGTTAAACAAAAATAAAAAAACTCACTTCAGCAACTACCGTTTCATAGCTTATATCTGAATCTGGAGTAGGGGTGATCAAAAGGTTGTGTGGCATCAGACCGCGGCGGTGGTCAACTTTGAAAACTCGTTGGCTGAAGAATGCACTCCATAGTATTTTCGGTTTTTGTTCTTAAGCATGAAAAGCAAAATATCACGTTCAATAAAAAAATGAATTCAATGTAAGCTCTGATAATAAAATTTTGCTCCAGCATAACATAATAACAGTGCATACTTTCAATCCATTATTAAAAAAATTTACAGATAACGAAATTAAAAAGGAAGTTGGCCTGAAAGCATTCGGGCTCAGCCACTCTCGACTGCTGCAGACGACCAACCACATTCACGAAACTTCATCCCAACCTACCTTGAAGAAGGCCCATGAGACACTGGCCGAAACGTCGTTACTGATCAGTCATCGATCTGACCACAGTATCTTTTGCGTAGTGTATAAGTAAACAATGTTGTTTTATGCCATTTTTTCAACCTAGCCTCATTTCTGTTAGATGATTCCAAGGAAGCACAAAAACTATCTACTACATAAATTAAACCGATAATTAATGCATAAACGATTTGAAGCACCAATAATACATGACAGGAATTATTAATGTACAGGAAATGAATATTCAATGACTAACATACAGGAATAATACTCGATTCAATTAATGTACAGAACAAACGGTCAAAACGACCGTAGCACTGTAGTGACTGGTAAAAACCCGGCATGGCGACAACGTCGTGGCAAGTTTTAAAGCCATAATATATGCTGGCAAAAGTATAAAAAACATGCTTACTTACCTCACTTTCTTTTCCCCTCATATAGTCTAGATGATCCACTACTGTGCAATGAGAAACAGTCAGTACCACACACTCTGTTAAACTTTGTTTAGACTGGGAATGCCAGCGATCTGGTTTCGTGAATGATAACGGCTAAGGAATACATCTAATCGTAAGAAAAAATGAGCATTGACTACTTTACACATGCAAAACTATCATCCACTACAGCTTAAGGACGGCCAATGATCAAAGTTTTGGAGTGCCGCTGCAATAAAGCAAGCGCTCAGAATCTTCACATCTTATCCAGAAGAAAATATTCCACCGCTTGCACTTGAAACGTGCAAACCAGATTGGGGGCATAACATGATAAACAGGAAGGGTCGTTCGCTGACCAATATCCAGTTTTAAATTTGCCAGAAAATAAAAAACCGTTGCAAATTCATAAGTAAATTTGGCAGACGTAATAATCTAAGGAAACAGCGTTAAGTTTGGCTGTGAGCACTAAGTTCAATGGATATTCAGAACAGGCTTCCAGACTCCGCGTGTAAAATGAAGGTTTGCTTGACTAATATACAAAGTAAATCTACAGAGAGAAGAGAAGCACTCATCGAATGAATGGGAAAAAGCGAAATTAGAAGAGTCCAAACGTTATCTGATTTGTTACCACCAATCCGTTCGTGCCAATTACTAAAATCGTCAATTCAATTCCATAGTGCAGAACATTTTGCTAAGAGAAAGGCTAGAATCAAATTAAATCATGAAATATTAAAACAAAGCAATGCAATTACTTTTATTGCATTTATGCACAAATGGAAATTTTCTGTTTGTGTCTTACAGTCATCATTAAACTTCAACGACTGTTGTCATTTGAGTTTAAAAAGGTAGCAGCTGCCGCGGATGACAGTAAACAATACCACTTGAAAAAATCATCTAACGGATCAAAAAAATAGTTATAGATTCAATAACCGGATAAACCTAACACGTTGTCATTTTACAAGTGCGAATATCACTATTCATGAATGTTTCTTCAGTCAGGCTTAAAAAGTAATTACCATTCTCATTTTTACGCTCCTTAGTAAAGAAGCGATCGCATGCAGGCTGAAGGTCAGAAAATGCATTTTCAGAACCCTTCATCACTAAGTAAACCACATCTAAAATAACATATATAGGAAACAGCCACAAAATGCAACATAATTTGTTACACATGTTCCGAGGACACGCCATGCCCCTCCGGCTGACCTCCAGCAGTTGAACAGTGTTATGCGAGGTGCTGAATTCGTGAAACAATAAACAAATCTAAAATCGACATGATAATGCTTCAAAAC